GGGAAGGGGAGGGCAGACGGTCTCTTTTGACTCAGTCTTTAACTGATCGGCGCTGCAAACCAAGACTTGACGTTTTCGTTACAGATTATTGGATCTTGACACTGTAATCTCTCTCGTCGACAATACGTTCATTTCACTGGAAGAACACCAAGCGAAAAAGAAGCCGATCTTCTTGTGATAATCGACGCTTTGTCTCGCGGAATTGACGTTGATTCGGGCGATCTCGGCATAACCGCGTGAAATTGATCGACGATCCTCATAGAGACACGTAGCTTCGGTGACTCGGCGGTTTGTTCGAACATCGCCTCGGAATCCGCGTTGAAGCCTCGAAGTATGAATAAAATCGCGGCCACACCGGCGGTGAAGAAGATGTCGCCTCGAATGAAATTTGCGCCGGCTCGTAAGCCTTGAGATACAGATCGAGCGACGGAACGTTTCGAGCGGCCGCAGATAGATAAAAAGGTTCTTCAGTAGCGTAATAACCGACGTGGCCAATCTAATTTCACGTGAAGTTATCCGATCGGCGCCGCATAATTGACCTAATCAAATTCTCCACCGCCGGTGGTGGTGGCAGCCGAAAAGCGTAAAAGCATCGGCGTCAACTGCCGGTAAGTAAGCATGTCATCACGCGTTACGAACTTAGTTCTGCTCAAAAGACGCGGGAACCCCCCCCCCTCTCCTTGGGAGCCTCGTGACCAGAAAGTGAACAGGAAAGAGCCTTCGCAGTGCAGTCGTGGTGTGTTCACGCGAAAATCACGCGTCCGCCGCGTCCGATTTTACGCTTGATATTTTTTCCTTGCAATCGGCGCGAAGAAAACGTGGCTGCAAATTAAAAACATGAGGGATAACTGGCTGTTGAGAATCTCCCTGTGTGCAATCGACATTGCAATTGATTGGCTGCAACAACTGGCTGCGATTCTTTAGCGGAAAAATATACGGATAAACGTAATAACAGTTCGATATCGTTCGATGGATTCTTTTTAAATAGCACGAAGGCCGATTCCCGAAACACGTGGTCCCGCCAATCGCGGCTACGGGCGCTCCCGACTGCCGACCCCCTCGGTGTACCCCCGGCGGGAACAAGGCGCATCTACGGAGAGGTTCTGGTTGGGGCGTTCTATGCGTATATATACGTGGATCGCTTTGCAAAAGATCCACAAACGCGGCGTGATGCGCGTCCAATCAGCGCGGCGTAGCCAGCTGCCGTGTGGGTAACACCGAGCGAGGTGGTACGAAGAGCCCCCTGGGTTCATTCATCAAGGCCCTGGTTATGTACAGCGCAGCCCCCCTGAAAAAAATCCCCCCTTCTCGCCGCTTGCTCTCCGATGCCCGCGTGTCGAAATCACGACGATGCCATTTCGAAGTTCGTTAGAACACACCTCGAGGTACACCTTTCCTCTTCATCGGGCACCCGCGCCGTCCCTCGGCCGGACGTTCCTCACAGGCGAATTTTGCGAAACCGCGTGAAACGAACTGATCCGACAGCTCGTCCCGGTCGGAAAATAAGCGACTTTCTCGGTTATCGCGTGAAATACGATTGATCGGCCACAGTCGTGCAAGAAGGATCCAACCATTGTGATTATTGTGATTATTGAGATTTTGCTACCAACGGGTGACCCACATGTTTTTCTACGTAAAACAAAAAGATCCTTATGGGCGCCCTAAAGTTCATTAGTTACACCTTTTTTACAAATTTTCCTAAGGATTAAGCTTGTCAATCGCGACGATCGTTTCCGTGAAAGGGATGTTCTCAGATCTCGCGAATGGTTCCTCGAGTATCGGTGACAAGAGGGGTTCCTACGTGTCGAAAGTCTTGTGTCGACATTGTTGAGCATCAGCGATTCGGAACCGTCGTTAAATTCGCAACACCGTGATGCGAGTCTCGTTGCGCGATACATTTCCCATATAGTCCCCGGCATCATTTCGCTAGGATGCAATGGGCGAGCATGCAACTGCTCGTTTGCAGCTCGCATGAGCGCACGCACGCACGCATGGACGAACGCACGCACGCATCCCCCACGCGGGATTTGCACGGCTTTCATTGGCTCGGTTAAGTTTGATTAATCTATTCGGGCGAACCATTGTTCGAAACACGGCGGGCAATCCCATTGGTTGAAAAGGACCGACGATGTGCCGCACGGGGGGCTGTATTGCCATTAAGGGAGGGCAGCCATCATGCCCGCGTGAACTGGTTCTGTGTGTTTTTCGCTCATTTTATTTCCCCCCCAACGGTAGTCGACGCGCTCCGTCCGTGGAGTAAATCCATAAATTGACGAAAAGGAAAAAAAAAGAGAAAGAGAGAGGACAAGCGGCCACAGCAAAAAGGAAGGCAATAGCGGTTATCTGTCCTTTTTGCGCGGTTTGAAACGATCAAGCGGATTGAAAAACCTCCCTCGCTCATCGCATATTTCATCACACATTAGCGACATCAAACTCGCGCGAGATCTTTCTCAATTAGTCAAGTCGAAACACATAAATCCATAAACATCTTAAATGCACGAGGAGGCATGATTTTATCGCGAATTATTATTACCGCTGGCGCGTACCGCCCCCCCCCCCTCCCCTCCCCCCCGGCGATTACGTCCGGTGACTAGGGCGATAAATCAGTCTTAGAGGTTTACGGTTCTCCGAGATACTCGTGTGACTCGGAGAGCCGCGTTCAGCAGTGACGCAAAGGCGGCTACGAGGTGAAAGGATTTTTCATCATCGAATAATTAGCTTCTACGTGGAATTTTCGCGATTCCGTTGTGTTAGCAATCGCGACAGTTTAATGAGGACAGTTACGCGCGAGAAGCAGTCCTCGAGGTGCTCGGAAATATTTTTACTCCGCCACCTTGTCCTCTTTGCTCAGCGGCTCGTTGTCGTCGCACTCTCGATGTATATCGCAACGTTAAGTAATACCGGTAATTACGGACGGTAATTTCGGCGATAATTATGCGGAAATTTGTATGAAATTATCGTTCGGATATTCAATCTCACTGGGTAATCGTTCATCTTTACGTCGCAAAGCGACTTTATATCGTACCAAGTATAATGTTATAAATATGTATAATGGCGCGTATAGTCCGAAGTCACGCAACGTACGCGTAAGCACGGGCCGGCCGTGACGCCGCCCTTAGATTTCCATCGTCGGGGTGCGGTTTAAGCTTGGGAGGTCGTCACACTTATCAGCTTTGCAGTTGCCGATACATCTGTTCTGGTTGCTGCGCTGGAAAACGCAGCGAGGGGTGACGATCGGTATTTACGTGTGAAAAAATTATAGCGAGAAATAAAATTCCAAAGATAGACCGAAGAAGAGGAAGAGAACAACAGTGTAATTGTTGTGATTGTCGGAATGATCGCAGAATGCAAAAGTGCACTCGTTAATTTGCCAGCATCCCTTTGGGTTCGATATGTATGAATTTTTGCGCTGAGTTGGTCTCGTCGCCTTTTACGTCGCCCTAAATTTTAGTTCCGCGTTAACTTTTCTAAGATCTTCTATTGTGTTCCTTTGATGTTACAAATGGGAAGCTATTTCCTCCGCTTGAAGGCTCAATGCAGAATTAAGTGAACTTAATTCAAGACCAAAATTCCGATTCGGCTTTCGCGAGATTCAACAATTACACTTGATCGTATTACAAAATGTTCGCCGAGAAAAATTGTCTTGGGTTATATTTTCCGCCGGTTTATCTCGTCCCAAACGCTAAAATTCCGCTTTGCTTGGCTGCCTGCGAGTAACCTCGAATTGGAATTACGATGAAATTATTCGAGTCAATGAGGGATAAAAGAGTGGCAAGTCAACAAAATTTTGAAGCACCTCCGAGGCGGTTCTCACGACGATATACGACCGAGCACGCTCGTTGTTCCCGACCTACCACATCGCCATTGGGATCAGGACGATCTTGGGGTAACATTGGGGGAAGATATTCGGTGCGATTGGCGACCGATGAGGAGGAAGGCGAGTCTCAAAGGTGCCGCTCTCGGAGCAACCCCATATTGAACTCGTACGGGGGTTGGAATATGGGCGGGCTGAATAGCGAATCACGGGGACAGGCTGACGATACGTGTGGTCCGGAAAGAGAAAAAAGAAATCCTGCTACGTGGCACACGCGTATATGGGGCACAGAATGTACGGAGATATACACGCAGCGGTCTCATATGCGCGCGAACCGCGAATTCGCTCAATGAGGTACGGAGGGTTAAAGTCGGAGGCTGGAAGGGCGAGTCGTTACGCGGAGGTTTCGAGGTACCTAGGATCGCGGAGTGAAAGACAGACGGACAGAGAGAGAGAGAGAGAAGGTCCGCGACCACCTACTCGGCCGACACAATGGGACACAAATGCGTGGCGACAGGACCCGTAGATATACGGCAGGCTGATTGCTCGTTGTCACCGCGTGTACCCGATTGTCGGCTCTTCTGGGGGCTGTGGGAGCCCGTGATCAACGGTGTTTTTGCGAGGGCGGCTCAAAACCGGGAGACGAACCTGACGATTCCGGGCCAATCGCGAATTATGTACGCGTTTTTTTTTCTTTCTTGTTACGCCACCGATTCCTAGCCGCCTCTTCTCGAGTCTCGAGCGAAAGATCGCACGGTGAAAATGAGCAACGTTCTCTTACACAAAAAAGAGATGCTGGATTCAAGTAAATAGTTACCCCAATGCCCCTTAGTAAATTTTACACCTGGATCAGCATTTACTTGATCCAAGTGAAATATTTTCCGAATAAATTATCTAAGTAAAATATTTACTTGACCTGCACACATACTACACAAAATTATTTAATACAAGAAAATATTTGCTAAGGAATATTGGAGGAATTATTTACTTGAATCTAGCACTTTTTTCTGTGCAGGTATTTGCTATCTGAATTTATTCCATTTTCACATTCGAGGCAAAAATAATAAATAAATTTAAGTATGCGCACTCTTACCTTGTCGGTGAACGGTCGGTGAGAATATAAATTGAAAAATGTAACCCATTTTTTCGTAAAATTCATTTATTATGTAACGTTGCATTATACAATTCGGATATAATCGTTAGGTGTGTTATGCGGGCTGTCGTCGTTATATACAATAATCTTAAGTAACTGGCCAATTAAATAATCCGTTGGATCGCAACATCAATTATGATAGGAATATTTTTTTTTAATCATTTTTTTTTACGATTCTCTCGCATTATTCACGTGTAGATGTGTACAACTTTAGAACTATAATAAAATATATTCCGTTTATATTCACAGATAGTTACACTTACATCGTATAGCCATTATAATAAAGCAATTTTCTAGAATACTAAAACATCGAGGCACTATTGTTACGATTATACGTAATTGCTAATTATACTAACGAACGAATCTTGTCTTAATTATACGATTCTCCTTAGAATTCGGTGCGTGGCTTATATTTATGCGTACGATTTAACGTGAATTTTAATCTAACATAAATATGCAATAGCATCACTGAGGAAATACTATCAAGGAGAGAGTTACACTCGATATATTTACACTTTCAGTTTACTTGTTGCGCATCGATCGCCACGCGCAGCAAGTGCATGCCTATAAATAAGAAAATCTCATCAAAAATTCAAACGTAATTCCGCTTTGCAATTTACACATTTTCTCGATATAATATTACATATAAAATACCACATATTTAACAAGATAGATAATTTGCAAAAAAGAAGATTTCTCAGTTTTCTTCTCGAAGATCTGGTCGATGCGCAACGATAACCTCGCGAATCCACGATCGTCATAACGGTTTGCGATTTTTGTTCGGAGAAACGCGATTAACACTCAGACGTCGAAAATTGAATGAAGAAGTAGACCCGGTCGTCTCTTCGTGAGTGTTAATTAACACCCGTGTCATTTCGTTCTCTGAACAAAGGAGAAAGGAAAAAACGCGACAGTAACAACGTAACAACGTAACAACAAAAACTAGGAAAATATTACACATTTTTACATGGATACAAATCATTTTCCCGGGCCGTACGCGCGAACACTTTTACACTCAGCTTTGAATTGGAAAGAAAAAGAATGAAAACAGATAACAATAACGAGCGGCTATTATATTCAAGCCGGCTCTCTCCTTCATCTCGCAGTTGTATTGCGTAATCGCACATGCGACCGATTCCATGACGAGTCATTCTTACGATTACTTAGTATTACTTAGCACTTCAGTGGACTCTTCCGCAAACCTGGGAATCAATGCCACCCAAGTACGGATATCCGCTCTTAGCCTCGCTGGGGCTGTGAGGTGTCACGTGGTGCGTCATTCCCGTCGGGGCTGGCACCCCGGAAGAGGATGCGCTTTGCACCATGCAGGCGCTCATGTTAGACGCGGTCGGGCTTACGCTGCCACCCAGACTGCCCAGATTGAGATTGCTGGAAGTCAGGTTGGAGGCAAGGTTGCCGCTGCCGTAATGGGAGGCGTTGAACAATCTGGAACGCATAAAATGTCGCACGTCCGAATGCCGGTTCACATAGCACTGAAGTGCATAGAAGTTCATGACGGTTCATTTTAAAGAATGCGTACACTCAAAAAAAAAAAAACAGTCTTGCAGACGCAGCGAAAATTATCCTGATACGAGAGATTAGCTAAGATGGATAAGTGACTAGCAAACGTGTATTTTAATTACTTCTCTCGGAAGAGAACTATTTTTCACCAAACACCAGCTCTAACATGGTGAGTGGAATGAATTTCTCGACAAATGTAAAAAGTTCTATCAGCTTTGTCGTACAAACGAGAGAGAGAGAGAGAGAAAGAATATCGGCGGGGAGATCAATAGGCAGTCCGAGGATTGCATTATCTGCCGATATTTCTGATTAACCTTTTGTTCAATATGTTGAATATAAATTAACTATTGTATGCGCGCGCGATACAAGTGCGAGTACACACGCAGGAGACGGTTGCTGCGATACGATGCGAAATGAATCGCAGTTACAATGGTGAAAGGTGTCCACGCGGTGCTAATACGAAAATGAAATTCCGCCGTGGCTCTCAAAGTTACCGCCGGTTTGCAAGCCGATACCGCATACACTCATACACGCACCGCGAATCGGTTAGGGCGTGTCGGGGACTGCGGCAGCGGTCGATTTCCAAGCGCCGTCGCCGGCCCTTTGAGGATTTCGGTATACCACCGTGATTAAGGGCCCCGGAGTCGTGTCTCGTGAAAGGCAGGCTTCGCCTTTGCTTTCAATATTATCCGGTCGCTTTTTAACATTCCGCACCATCAGGAGATTACGGTAATTATCGGTAATGAACAGGAGTGCACAATTGTTCCTCGTATCTTCGATTCGGAAATAATAACAAACGGGGACAATTTGGGGTATTTATGGAGTGTATCCCGTCGGCGATTTCGACTCGTATCAAAGATAACAAATATTTGATATATCGATTTAGTTAAATTTGTTCCGATCAGCGTAAATCAAGACTGATTTTGCAGTTCGAAATTTTCATCGTGAAATTTAACTACAGACGTGTGCAAATCATTAGACCTGATGGTAAAATAATTGAAACTTACTAATTTTCTATTCAAATAGATCTTTATTTACTCTTTCTTTTTTTTATATTTTAGTATTTCGTACGCATCCTCTTATGCCGATCTAGTAAAAAACGAACGTTATTAATTTAATTATTGAGAAACAAAAACGAAGAACAAATAAATCTTACAATATATACATGATTTAAGAACATTCAATTTGTGTAAATAAAAATTAAAAAAGTGACAATAAAGACAGCAACTGCCGAAAGAAAACAAATGCAAATAACACAATGGTATATACTAATACTGTCAAGTAATGCTGCCAACAAGAATAATTTGCGAGAAGAAATTCCGTAAGTTTCCCACAAATAAAATTTTCCCCGAGAATAGACCTGTAAATCCTAAATATAAGAAAATTTTACAAAAATATGTTCTAATTGAAAATATAACGCAATTGAATCGTCAAAGATGCGGCGAATGAACAATGAAAATGAAATAATGAAAAACGCGTATACCCCTCATCTTGTTTCATTAACTTTCTCGGTTCGATCGATTCTTCAAATATAATTAATTATACTTTATATATAACTTAATGAGATGCGGTAGTATCTCAGTGTCGGTCAGGGCGTTCAGCGTGTTGATGAAAGTAAACGCGAAACTTTTTCCCCTTCAAAAGGAGTATCAATGTTTCGAAACTAGAGAGATTATAGCGTATCGGCAAGGGAATGATTATAAAGCGCAGTCAGCCCCTTGACCTCGACGCGACGGTTAAGCACCCTAAATCTCACCGGTGTCGGGCCTAATTCGCGCGCGTATAACTTCCTTTTTTATTTAGAAGGTAGCGCGACCTCTCTGGCGGAAGCCGCGCGATTTATCGACCATATCCCGCGGCCGGCCTACGAATCTATTTTCGTGCGGAAGAATGTCCCGTTCCTCCGCTCACAAATCAACTCTCTCTTGTATGGTCGCGTTAACGAATTCTTAAGAATTTAGCGGTGGCGAAATTTACAATGTACAATTCGCCGAAATTAACGTCGATTTGCGCGCGCGAAACTCGAACATTCTCTAAAGACGAGCTTGGAGCTTTCCGAGGGATTCTACTACGAGGTTCTTCTATCACAAATTTTCCCCACAAAACTTCCTCTTTTTTCCCCCTATTAACTGGACGGAATAAGAAACGCATCGTTATCGTAGTTGACGAACGTCTCTTTTCGCCTGAGCGCGATCTTCTCCTTCCTTTCTTCTCCTTACCGCGGAACGCATTATTAACGCGACTCACGATCGTTTCACGACACTCGACACTGCAGCTTCCGTGCTGCCTAGAACGCGAAACGGCAAAAACGGCGAGCCATCGAGAGCGATAGCGAAATCGTCGGCTCGGACGGCGATGAGAGAGAAGACCCCCCACAAGACCGACGCTCTACCGGGGGTCCGCGAGCATTATCCCGGATGTTTAAAACCGACCGAACACTCGGTGCATCCGCGTGATGGTGGTTCGTCCGCGCGAGCCGGTGGTTGCGAGTGCCCGAGCGAGACGGGAAGAGCTGGGAGCGCGTAGCCGCGAGAAAGAGGCGCGCGCGGCAACGCGCGGAGATAAAGACGGCGAAGCCGGGATGTTTCGAACAATTAATTCAGCCATTGTGGCGTAATAACAGGTTGCCCCGGTGGCCGGCTTGCTACAGTGTGTTGTTACACGCCGGAGCGGAGGAGCCGATTCAGCGGAGAGAAAGAGAGAAAGTGGAGAACGAGGAAGCGAAAGAGAAGAGAGAGTGAGCGAGTGAGTTAGTGAGCGAGTGAGCGAGAGGGAATGAGAGAGAGTGAGTGAGAGCCAACGGGGCCCCACCGACACGTTTTCTGTGTGGTCCTCAATTATGTTGCTTCTTGGGCCCCCGTAATGAAACGCTACCGGCTAATAATCCAAGCCGGGTCTTGATCCTTCGACGCTTCGCGCCGAGTGTACGTAGCCAGCCGTGATCCAGCTTTAACCGATCGCCGCAAAGTAGCACCGACCGATCGCGAATAATCGTCGCGGGGGTGTCCCGCGGCGCTCGCGCGGAACACGACGGCGGTGATCCGGAAAGAAATTCGTGCCGACGAGAAAAATGTCGGGGGACGTGTCGAAAAATCGAACGATCCGTTCTCGCGATATTCCTTCATCGTGTTAACACACGACCCGTGTTAAAATTTCGGTTGAACACCGAGAAGTACTTTGAATATTTATATGTAAGATATGGGATTTATTTCGCGGAAGTACAGTTTATTCCTGTGAAATAAGATTCATTTCTGCGAAATGAATCTCGCATTCCGTAAATAAATGTTTAAGTACTTCTTTCACAGCGTACGTTAATCTTGCAAATCTCGTCCAAACTCGGAGAATTTAGATTAATGGAAAATCTCGAGATACATTTATATACACATATTTCTACAGGATTCCCCATTGATCCTTCAAATTTGATGGTATTTGCGAGATTATAAGGTATACAAAAAAAAGTGTTGAAAAAGAGTCTGCTATTCAAACAATATTTATTCGATTCAAGTAAAGTAATTACCTCAATATTTCTTGACAAATATTTACCAGACGTAGAAAAATATAATTGACAATACATGATATCATATTTCCTTCGTACAAATGGACATTTACTAATATACGTTAATTGCGACATGTATTAAATTCATGATATTCGGAATATCAGGATTTATTTTTATAAAATATTTATTAGACAGCAAAATCGAAATTTTAAAGCACTAGGTTTCTTTAATGAACAAAAAATATTATATATTCTTTTAAGTAAATACTCTTTTAAATATAGGACCATTTCACACTTATATTCAGCAATTCATTTATAAATTAATGTACCGAACCGCGTTCAATTAAGTATTTATCACAAATTGTTAAAATATAATTAAATTGATTAACATATTACCTGACAAAAGAGGTTGAAAAATTAATAATTACATTTACTTGATTCTCAGCACTTTTCTTTGTAGAAGCAACATTTCGACTCTTTCTCTCTTTTTCTTCTTCCCGCCTCACAAAATAGAGAGAGATGTATATATTGTCGAAACATACCCATAATTTTCCGGAGTCGCCCGTGGCCATTGTTGCTGCGCCGCATAATAGTTCTCCCCATAGTTGTAATGTTGGGAATAACCGGCAGTGGTTGCTGCGGCGGCAGCAACGCTCGCCTGTCCGTAGCTCTGATAGCTCTCAGCACCGCTGCCATAGTGCTGGGTCTGGAAAGACTGTAGACTCATAGTGTTGAAGGCGTTCAGCTGTTGACTGTTGAGCTGTTTACGAAGCCTGGCGCGCCTGTTGCTGAACCAGACCTGCACTCGTGCTTCCGTCAATTTCGTTCTGCGGAAAAAAAGGGCAGTCGCGTTTATTATTAACTGCAGTAAACGCACGATTATCATCACGAAATGACAAAGCGATGCGGCTTGCAATTTTTTGCAATTTTTCCTTGACGCGTATATTAGCTAGAAATTTAATTTAGTTCGAATCGGTCTATCTTCTCGTTTTAATTTTACAATGTCGTGAAATTTTAACGATCGATGATTGATTATCCGACCTAATATTTTACACGAAAGAAGAAGAAAATTGAACACTGATTTAATTTTTCACTGAATGTAAAGTATACTGAGAAAAATAATTTCCTGGCAGAGCAAATTTCATGCTGTCACAGCAATATCTGTCAATACGTGGACAGCAAAACGATTTGTTAAGAGTACTAATTGCTATTCGCTGAATTATTTTGCTGAATCTATTTTTGTATCTATCCATATTTATCTATGTATCTGTTATAGTTTTTACTGTATCTATTATAGTTTTTACCTATATTTATATTTTGCTGAACAAATTATTTTGCTGTAACTACAAATTTGTAAATATAGGAAAACACCATTTCGTTTTAACAGCGAAACAAGGTTTGCTTCTCTGAGCCAAAGATTTGGTTCTTAGAAACCTCTGAAACTTCAGAGAACCAAACCTTCGGTTTAGACAACCGAACTTTGGTTATTACGACCAGAAAATGTGTTTGCCCATAGTCAAGCAAGTCATAGTCAAGCAAGAATTTAGTTGATTCAACTAAATGGGTTTCTCAGTGTGTGCTTTCACTGCAAATAGCAAAATTATTTTTCTCCGTGTCGAGTTTTGTGAAACTCTACTCACTTTTGCGCGAGTTCCTCCCTCGTGTATACATCGGGATATTGCGTGCGATGAAAAGCCGCTTCCAGTTGCTCCAGTTGCTCGCCGGTAAAGGTAGTCCTACTCCTTCGTTGTTTCCTTTTGAGCGCGATACCTGGCTCGCTTTCCGTGTCGGAGTCATCGCCGCTACTTCCAGCTGAAGACAATCAATCATCGTTGAGCTTAAATACTATTTGCAAAATTAAGTGACCGTAAACGGATAGATGTCTTAAGGAAAGCACGCGATATCGGTAAATCGGGAATGGGGGGATGGGGGGTGGGATATCCATTGACGGAAGAATCGAGTTGCTGGGTCGGGATTTAAACAGCGATATTAAACATCGATAGCTCTCGGTAGAGGAGGACGCGCGAGCCCTCTGAGTTCTTTGACTTAATAGCGGCGAGAGCGCGTCTCTCGGTCCAGCACGTGCTGCACGTCAGATACCGAAGATAGGAAGCGAGTTGTTCACGCCCACAGTTCACACGCCGGTCTCAGCAACCCACCATTAAGACCCTTCTGATTACAGCCGTGCCAGCCGAACCTATACTAAACTAAAACACCAGAGAAATTAGGGTCCGCCGCGAAGAAATTAAGTTCTTTGACATGTCTCGTCCCACCCGAGCTAAACGAAAGCTCGTGGAACGCTCCGAGTAGGATCGTCGTCTTGTATTACGAGACACTATTTATGAAATTTCGTGTTTGATCGGTAACACGTGGATCCGGGATCCGTTCTTGTCGCGTTAGTCTCAACAATTACATAGGGTGGGTTTTATCATGAGCGTTTCCGATCTCGGCAAATTAATCATTAGCACTATAAAATCCATTTAGTTGAGTCAAACAAAATCCCGGGGATATAGGCAATCAAAGTTTGGTTGTCATAACCAAAACATTTGTTTATCCATATCCAAGCGATAATTTCGTTTGAGTCAACTAAATGGGTTTCTCGATACACTGAAAGAAAAGCGCTTAAAAATTTACTTGTGGGATACAAAATTGATTTCACACAAGTAAACCTTACAACCCGGTAATAAACCTTGCTTGTGTGAATAAATCAACTTTGTATCTCACAAGTCAATTTTTAAGCACTTTTTTCTCAATATACATTGGGCCGTTGATGAAAGTGTCGTTTTACCGAGGACGTTTACTGCAATTGTAAATTGTAGCGACGTTCCGTCATTGTGAATGTGAACACTTTTCCGAATTAAGCCGATCAGCACCGACCGGACCAACGGGAAGGAACGTTTAAATCAATAGCACCTGCGCGAACGTCAGCCCCGAAGTGCTCGGCGGTTCCCTCCAGATTAAAGACCGCCGCGCGCTCGTAAATCGTTGCAACACTTTAAGGATGTGCCCAACGATTTTTTGGGCCTTGACGTTTTTCGCGAGCTATCAGCGCCCGTCGGTACTCTGCGAATCCGGGCGTTAATCGTGCGAATCGCGAGAGGTTCTCGCGTTTGCTCCCGGGCCGATGCAATTAATCGAGGGGTTCCCGGATTGATCGAGATTGTCACGTGACTCGTGCAAACCGCTTCGTAAAATGCTCGATTCTCGTCACGGATGAGATACACGAGCGAATGAATTATAGGCTTCCTATGATAAGCGATAAAACTGAAGTAGCAAGGGAAATCGACCACAGTTGATTATTCTTCCAACAAACGACCGTGATCGCTTCAATCTTATCGCTTAAGCCTTATAGTTTATTGTAGAAAGTCTCTCACACGTGTGCATTTTCGGAGCGCAAGTGGTATTCGCGATAATCGCGTGGCGTCGATCGGCTCGGTCGGGAAAAGCCGCGGTGTTGAACAATTACTATCGAGGTACGGCGGGCGAGGCTGCGGACACGGCGAACGAACAGCGGAGGTCTCAATCACGAGTCTGCCCCGCAGTAACAGCATCTAAATCAATAGAGGGTGCCGTTGCGTTCCGCGAACAAAACGCCGGGCACGGGGTGTGTTGTTGGCGGTTTGTAAGATTAGAGGCAGGCGGCGGGTACGAAGCCGAAGAAGAAGACCACACGCCGCGTATATATGCGCGGTCCCCCCCTCGTCCGTCGACTCCTCGAACTCCTCCGAGCGAGCGCACTGCTCATCTCCGTTCCTTCTTCTCGGCTGGTTCGACTGTTCGCTCCTTTTAGCCGCTCCACCTGATTTCTTCTTTCACGTTCGCGCGCTCGCCATGCCCTACCTGACTCGCTCCTCGTCCCGCTACGCCCGCTTAGCCCGATCCGTTACTCCTCTTTCTTGTCCCGATCGTTCCTCCTGATTTCATTTTCACCGAGAAACGGACCGCGAGGGTTATTTATCGCGCGTGTTCCCCGCTACCGGAATCGCCGGGCGATCCTCGGGATTGACGTTCCGTCGAGAGGAGGAAGCCGCGAGGGACCCGATCATCGAAGGCACGCGCTCGGGGATCTCGATTTTTAAGGAGATTATTAGGCGAAAGGTGTTTCATAGGAATCCGATGAAACATTGCATGCACGTTGAAATATTACCTAACCGCTGCTGCAATTGGGAAGAGACCGATCGTTCGAGGACCGAGATATTTGCAATTAAAATTGACATTTTTTATACGTGTTCCTTGAGATCAGCGTGCTTATTTATAATTTGTATTTGTAATATCGGTTCCAAATGAAAAATAAGGTCTTGATGACAAACTACTACACGGAGAAAAGATTGTAGCAAAAATTACCACAAAATTTCGCAATGTTAAATACCAGAATTATAACTGAAAATATAATGTATATTGTAATTTTTGCCGGTGTATTTTATTGTATGTATCATTAAAAAAAAATCACAACATACACACACACAATCAGTTATAATTCCAGTATAGTCCAATATTACAAAATATTGTGGTGATTTCACTACAATATTTTCTCCGTGTGTGATATTGAAGATTAATACGCAGACATTATATAGAAATTTCAGAATTACTGACCGTCTTATTTCGAAAACAGCGGTACAAAGTTCGCAACTTTGCATCTTTATTAGATCAACCGATGCATATACAAATATTAATATCAATAAGAAAAATAAAAGAATAATATTTTCGTATTTAATATCGTAATATCGTTGTGTGTATTTATGTTCACCTCAACTTTTCGTTTCAAATTAACATTTATGAAGCTGTTAGCGAAATTAATATATAAGAGCGTAATTTTGCATGACAAATATCGAATTTATGAGTGACCTCTTCGAAGCACCACTGAAAATACGATTCCACGCTTTACAACCTCCTTAAGTCAGCCTTGTCGCGAATCCTCCGCGATTTCCTCCTCCGTATCGATCGTTCACGTACGATCAGTATCATTTAATTCACTTAGCCTGACTGCTCGTTCGTCGTGTTCACTTTTTCGAACGGGACGATCCATAAACAACGAACGTACGGTAATGAAGGAAGGAAGAAAGCGGCGAGACAAATGAATAAATAGTGAATTCAATGATCGAAACACCGACGGCAGATCTTCGTGCGTGGAAATATCTACGAAGACTCCGTTCGTCCCGTTGGTATCGTATCGTTTCATTAGGAATTGCGCCATTATCGCATTAGCCGTCGCTCGAGTTATCTCGCGATGTTCGCCTCGTCTCGTTGTTCGATCCCTCCGTTGTCCGCGTCGCAGGTCGGATTCAATATGTTCGCGCTGCTAAACCATCGCGCTGCGATCGAACAAAAAGACGCGTAAAAAGGGTTCCACGTTGGAGATGCGCGTTCCGAAAGACTTCGTCTACCTCCCCTTCGTCCTCGCCTTGGTCCTCTTTCCTTTCATGGCGGTGCATTAGCGGCGGGAACAACGTCTCGACTTTCTTCTTGTTCCCCCCCCTTTGTTCGAATCATAATACATGATTTACTCGGCCCGAGCGCCGGCGAACGCGCGCTGGGGACGCCGGGAAGATCTATGCGCGGTCGCTTCTCTCCGGAGACTTTAACGCCCGGTGTTTGCGGCGCGAATTGTTATCCGCGTTATCGCGACACCTCGGGAATGAATCGTTCAACCGACGCCCGTTTTAATTCCCCCGGGGGCCGCGTCGCGACGCGAGGGAAATTTCAATCGGCAACGAAGAAGATACACGAAGGAGGAACGGACAATCAGCAAGCGGCAGAGCGAGATAAGATTTCTCAGTGGCGATGGCGGCAACGGGTCAGGTACCTCCGCCGCGCGAATCCTCCGCGCGAAGTTGCAATCTCGAGCATACGTCTAATCAAAACTAAATCTTCCCGACAAGGTAATAAACTCGACACATCCACGGCGCCACGGGACGCCTAATATTTCTTCGCGCCCCTTACCGCCGGTGATAAATAAAAAAGGAAAGGAATTCCCTTTACGTCCGCCGACCAGATCTATATTTCCAGCAATCTCAGCGCGCCCCGAGAAATTGCCGGACGCTCTTCGATGAATAAAATACGCTCCCGTGTATAAACATTCGCGCATACCGAAGGCTCGCGTCATACGCGTAAATGCGGATTGACGCAGCGCAGATCACGTGGCTGTCGATCGATTTTGCGCAAAGCATTATCGCGAAACGACAATTCAACACCACGCGGAATTTTTTTCGAAGATATGAATATTCGTGAGCCGAGAAAAAATATCATAGTGGTCTTGCTCGGTTTACTTGTAACGGATATACTTATGATAGTGAAACAATTTCAGAGCAGGGTGGGGGACATTTTGGAGGACTATACGTTGCACAATAGTTACTACCCAAGGTAAAACTTTTTCCCATACTGATATTAGAAGTAACGTGCAATCCAAGCTGCATCGAAAATACATACATCAGTATGAGGCGTTTTTTACTTTTCCGATATTTTTTTAAAATTGAAAAATTGAATCGAAAAGTCTTGAGCTATTTTGTCGAAAGAAGCCATTACTTACGGCAACTCTTTCCAACTTTTCAAATAACGTATCTTTATAGCTAAGATACCACAATTTATAATAAATAATTCGCAAACAACAACATCCGAAGTACACGCGAAAAGTACCCGGCGATATCCTTTGGCGCGATCACAGAGATTTAAAACGTTCATTATTGCGAGTTACAAGCGTACAATAACTGTGCCAGCTTTCCGGCTTGAATATTTTCGCACGAAACGATAACGACTTCCCGATCACATTACGCGAGGGAGGGAGAAATGTCGAGTCGCATTTCGGATTCAGCGAGCACGCGAGCTACGCGTACGGCGGCCGCGATCGTCACGGTCGCCTTGCCTCAATTAACTTAACACACGGCTACGCTATAATTACGCTTATCGCTCGATTAACCCCGGGTGTTTCATTTACGCCCGCCCGGTGGTTTATGCGGTGTTAAAACGACGAGCTGCGCCGCGGATATCGCTCCTGAAAATCTTTTCAGCGAGAAACGCGGCCGCTCGATCGTCGTGCGGAAGACCTCGATAGGTCGGTAACCACTTGATGAAAATTCTATTTCGAGGCGAGGGAGATAACGCGAGAGCGTGCAAAGAGTATATGCGCGTGTGTGTATGTGTGTATGTAAAAAACTTACCGAGGATCCCATCGATGGAGTGGTTCCGGCGCGGGTCGTCAGGACGAGTCTGATTGGTCGGTCCGCGTAGGAGTCTGGAGATGCTCGACACCGACGGTGCCGAAGCTTTGTCGCAAACTCCGTCCTGCTGGCAGAACCGCGTTGGACTAGTTAGTATTACTTTCCTACGTTTCTCTCGCAAATTAAGCTAATGGATTGAATTTAAATTTTAAACTACGAAGCTCAGATGAAAGATAAAGATAGAATATAAGGCCACGAGGGGCCAAGCACGGATGTTCTAGCGTCATTCGAGTATTAATAACGTCATTATTGATAATATTGTAGAAGGGTGAAGTTGCCTATTGCATATCGCGAACGTACCGAAAGAATATGCTTATTTATTATATATTTCGTTCTCTCATATACATCTGTACGAATTTGTAAATATCGATGGCGAGAAATATTGTCGAGGCCTCGGTAGCCGAATTGTTAACCCGGTCAGCAAAATTGGAAGGTCTAAGTTCGATTCTCGGCTGAGGCAGTGTTTCTCGCAACATAATAAGTAAATCGTTACATTGCGCACTAATTTAGTTAGCAATTAGATGAAAGTTTTACGGGGGATTTAGATTCATAACGAATATTACTGGGCTTCAAAGGGTTGGTTCGGCTGGGTTGGAAGGCTGTCGCCGCGTTCGTTTGTCCGAAAAAATTCGGCATATTCGCCACACAAGATGGACAATTTCGCCCTCTCACTCTAATAATATTAATAATGACACAATTTAACTTAATTCTGTCGCTCTATTCCCCTCTCTCGTCCCGTCAGGATATGATATCGCAAGAAATTATAGGGCCAAAGTGAAAATATTCATTAAATAAAATCAAGCAGAATAAGGCTCAGTTGATGTTCAGATGCAAAGAGAGGAAAGAGCTAGATGATTGATCGCGACGGAATAAAAGGAAAGACGCTTGGCAAAGCTGAGCGATTCTTTGCACGGACGTAAAGACGGTATCAACAGACCTTGATTAATTTGTCGCGTATCTCCCAGCTAAAGATTCCCGGGTTTTGCCGCTTGAGATCCTCGATCCTCGCCTCGACCTCCGGCGTCGCGACTCGCGGTTTGCTACCACCGATCACACCGGGTCTGATCGATCCCGTTTCCTGATACCGATTCAAGATCTTCGAGACGCAGCCGTGAGAGACTCTCAGTTGTCTGGAGATGACGCACGGCCTGATACCGGCCGCTGCCATTTCGACGATCTTCAATCGGATATGGTTCGGTAACGGACGGCCGTTGATGAACACACCGCCCAGCTGGTTCACGCGACCCTGTCCTGGAAAAATAAAGCAAACCGTCTATACGAATCTACACGTCGGCTGTACGTCGATTTTTCGTGTTACTAAACTGTCGTGCAAAATATTTCGACGCGCGCCTGTACGGAGATTTCCCAAATATCCCCAATTATAGCACAGACTCTGATCAGATTACCCAAACTTCTCCCAAATAAGTGTGACACATTGCGATATTGCGGATTAAGAATCCTATTCTTATTCCAGTTATAAGAAAACTTTGGGAAATTGTCGGGTAGAGCGAATAGAATCTGTCTGGGCTTCCCACTCAGAATCGCACTTTCGAAACATTACGTCTCTAGTCCGAATCTTCCCGTATTTTCCAATTCACCATACATTGTGTGCAAAATGCTAATAATGAGCAGGCGACGGTTCGTCCGCGGGCGAGATCGCTGGCCGGAAAATCGAAAGACGCGTCGGTGACGTGGCTTCAAGTTGCCACATCGAAAGACAATTTTCCGGCGGAACAAACGATATATGACTTTACATACCGTTCCACGAACCAGAACAATTCGCGAAGCTAAAACCGTATCGTGCCACGCGCGAGGCAGGTGATAAAGAGCGCGGTGGAAGCGCGGCCAAGGTGAAAAATAGCGTATTTTCTCGGCGGCCGGCACAATGCTGTACACGCTCCCGTGTACAGGCGTGCGGTCATTTTTTCCACGTGAAAATAAGTCGCGTCACAAAAGTGAGGCCGAAGTGGAGAGCACGGTGCAGAAGAACACAGGAGGCACACACACACACACACACACACTCGGCGCGCGTTTCGTGCAAAAGGAGCACCGCTTAGCGGACAAAGCTCGGCGGCGACACGCGAGGTGCCGCTCAAACGCCGCTAATTACCGCTAATTACCGCCAACCCCCTGAAAACACCCCCTTAATTAACTTAATTATAATGACGAAGTCAAACAAACTCGGCGTCACACGCGACGCGCGGAAGAGTCCGCGGGCAGCGGGAAGGAAGAGGGGCAGGAGGGGGGAGGGGGGAGGGCAGAGAAGAAGCGGAATGAGATGCGCAACGATGCGAGGCGCGCGATTGCGGTGGCTCTTACGACGCCGAGAAGGTGGACACCTCGCGTGCTTGAGAAAACCACGGATGGGAGACGCGTCACGACGAGTCGAGTTACGGTCCTGGTTTTGCGCGGAGCAGTAAAAGCGCCGGACGGGGAGGGGGGGGGGGGGGGAGCGCTTTAAANGGGGGGGGAGGGAGCGCTTTAAAAGCGCTCTCGCGCGCGCGGGGACAATGACAGGCCTCGGACTGGGATAACCACGGCGACACGGCCGTATTTGTATTTGCATAAAGGGACTCTGCATAAGAAGACGGACTGTGCCGCGAGAAGGGCGTCCCGCGCACCCGAGGATGACCGCGTTGGATCGGCAATTTGATCGATCGTCGTGTCTCTCTCTCTCTCTCTCTCTCTTTTCTTTTTATTGTTATTGAGTTATCATCATGTGCGGATCTCCGGGTTGTGCAAAGGGAATATACGTGCTTCTAAGAAGATTACCCGGACCGTGTCCGGTTTCTATTCTCAGCAGCCGTTCCAGAGACTCGTTGATACTACGAAATTATCGAAAAACGACGAGAACGAGTGAGGCACCGGTTTATAACGCGGCGAGGTTTAAAAGCGGCGAGACGAGAGAGAGAGAGAGAGAGAGAGAGGCTAGCGCAAAGCATCGCGAATCCCCGACACCCAAACATTTTCTCGATCGCAGTGCCAGTTCGCGATATATTCTCGCCGGCTACCTGCTGCGCGAGAGCGCGCGAAGCCTAAGAGGTCCGCTAATTACCACGGCGTAATTCAAAAGACGACCCCCTTCCCGGGCGCGTCCAGCTCTCTGGCACAAAAGTAGTCCCGTTTCGTCGTTCATCACGGCTCTCGAGATTTACATCCCCCTTCGCTCCCCCTCCCTCCCCGTGCGCCGCCCCCGCCGCGCGAGGCCCCTCGCACTCTCGGTAAGGACATATCCGCGAGTGCGTGCAACGCACACACTCCCACACACCGGCGTGCGGGCGCGTATAGGCCAGGTTACGGTGCCGGCGGACACCTCTTCGGTGTATGACGTCAGTCAGGCCGCGGGGCCCGACGGGATTACAGGCAAGATCAAAAGGCGCCGACCATCGCCGCCGCCGCCGTCGCTCCGATGACGACGACGACGAGTTCTCGGTCGACGAGCTCTCCGCGGATATTTCTGGCGTATATTTCGAGCAGATCCGGCGAACCGATCGGAAAACAAAACGATGAATTTTATGAGTTATTAATTAATACACGCGACGATAGGAGTAAGAGGGACAAAAAAATTCGGGGTTCTTATAAAGTAGCTGTTACTAAGTATTTATATGTTACTATATATACAAGCTATTAAAATATACCTGAATCGATCAAAATGTTACTTGATTTAAGAGGCTGAAAAGCAGGCAATTACGTTTCCTTGATTTCAGCACTTCCTTTTATATGTGATAGCGGTAGTTTGTAAACGGTAATGTCAATAGGGAAAAGAAATGATAAGGAAAAGCGATAAGAGCAGGACTACTAATGGTGTCGCGGGGATCGACAGCGCTACAACATTGCCGCGTCCCGTTAATCTAAAATTTATAAAACGCGGCCACAATTGCACGCAACTAATCAAATACATAGCCAAACCGGGGAGCGATTGAAACGAGCTAAGAAATTTATATGCATCGCGAATTGCACTGATTTACCGTGTCTTCGGTAACGTAAGCTTCCCGGCTGATCGTTGGAACAATCAGTGGAAATCGGTGTGGAAACGGCAGAGTCAACGAGTTGAGAACGGAGCTAACAACAACAACCGATCAACTTTTTCCATCGAGAGAAGCTATCTAGCCGGAGGTTACGTTTGTTGTTAAGAAGAATCGGCGCAGCTGAATAGGTCGGGGCATGAGATGAATGCGAGGAACGCCGGGCTACCATTCGATCGCACGTGCAAGACGTGCAATGCATGCGCCCGCGTCAGCCGCCCGTTCTGCTCGCGCGAGACGCATTTTTACGAAGCCCGACGAGCGTAACACGAGTCACGGAATCGAAAGTTGCGTGAATATATACCGGCTGTGTCCGTGCGAGCCCTTTACTCGTGTTTTTGTTCCCTATCCGCCGATGAACATTGTTCGACTCGCGGTTGCGAAACGCGCCGCGCGCTACATGCATTCGCGAGTTTCCCACTATGCCCGCTGCGATTAGTCCCGGTATCGATTGCGGCACACACAACATACACACACATACATACGTGCGAAAACCTGTGTAGCTATTTTCTCCAGGGAGAAATGGTTTACTCGAAGATATCGCGGGACCCGACGATGAATATCAAATGAAGTAGAAATTAAAGGCTGAACTATTAAAGGAGGAGCGGAGAAAATATCGCGGAGGAAATTATCACTGAATTTTGTAACGCTGGACCGTACCGGAATTATAATTGAAATTATGATGGGTGTTGTAATCTCTAATGATATCCTACATTTCAGTCTACAAAGATCTTCTATTGTGCTCCCATTGATATTACAAAGTAAGAAGTTATTTCCGTTTCCTCCACTCGAAGGCCTAATGTTGAACTTAAGTAGACTTAATGTAGGATCAAAATTTCGACTTGTACACATCGCTGAAGATCACAACACACGTCATAATTTCAGTCATAATTCCGATTACGTCCGATAATGTTCTAGCATTACAAAATTTTGCGGTGATTTTCAATACAATATTTCTCCCGTGTGTGCGTATGAAAGCAAGGAAGGAGATGACGATAAAGCCGTTCGAGTCGCCAGAAATAATTCATCGAATTATTTCCCTCTATTAACGCGCGCCACAATATTTATTTTAGATTTAAAACACGGCTACCTCCCCCCTCCGAGAGGACAATTTAATCCGAGCAAGCGAGCTGGGGTGAGTGATTTATGTCCTCGCGTAATTTATTATAGCGCGGACGCGGTGATCATTTTCGCGAGACTCGGCTGGAGGAGGACCACCCTGTTGTACGGATCTCGAGTCGCGCAGAAACGGTAGAAGAAGAAAAATAATTTCCAGCATGAATTATTGATAACGGGCGATTGATTGTCAGCGATCAGGCTAATATCCATGATCCGCGTGATGTGACGCGATAGAGAGGGAGGAATGGGGGGGGGGGGGCTCTGATTTGAATTCGTTCGACGAAGCGTCGCGCATCGTTAATTTTTACCTGCAAGGCAGCGCCGCTCGCCACCGTCGTCAGGCTGAGGGGTTGACGACGGGTTCTTAGATACGGCAGGAGAGAGAGAGAGAGAGAGAGAGAGAGAGAATCTAGAGAGAATTCCCAAATAATTGCGGTGCACGTTATTGGCCGGACGCTCATTACCCGTGGCGGGACGCGACACAGGCGTCAATTATAAACCTTTTTCTCATATCGGCCTCGGTAATAAATTATTACGTGCGAAGAGCCGACGAACTGTATTTTGTGCCCCGCGACATTCGCGTTCGCGCGCCAGCCGTGCAATTACGTACACTTTCTCTCTCTCTCTCTCCCTCTCTCTATCCCTCTGCGGGGATTATTCTTTATGGTAATCTGTGTCCCCTTGTCGCGCTTATCGCTCTTAAACGGTAATAACAACGTTATCTGAGCATTAATTGAATTGCGTGAAGGGTAAGCCCCGGGGCGCGCGATCGATCCAATTTTCGCGTGATAAAGTGTACGCGAGACGATTTTCACACACGCCCGTGAAAATCTGTCACTTCGCGGATCCGGCTGTGCCATTTTTCGTCGGGGAAAATTAATCGCTCGTTAACAGCCAGATTACGGAATCACGGAAGAAAGGTGCTACAGCTGTTTGTATGTACAACTGAAATTTAATCACCAGATCCAGTTTTTAGCCGTGGGAGCTGAAAATTAGGTACGCCCGTATGGAAATTTCCCAAACACTCTTCAAGTATAGGATAAATTTTGATCGGATTACTCAGACTTATCTCAAATAAGTATAACATATTGCGATACCAATTAGGGATCCCATTACTTAGCCCAATTGTAAGAAAACTTTAGAAAAATGTCGGGTAGGGCAAATAGAATCTGTCGGGATTTGGAACTTTCGAAACTTGACTTAGTTGGTTAATCGGAAGATCCCAATTAGATCCCATAAAATTTTCTATACGAAACATCAAATAGATCCTACTTTCCTTGCTCAAAGTCCCCCAGTTCCTATTTTGCTCGACATGAATTATGTAAATTTAGCTAAAAAGAAGGAAAACTTTGGGCAAACGTCGGACAGAGAAAATGGAATCTGCCTGTGTTTCCCGCTGAAAATCGCGGCTTTTGAAACATCACATCTCTGATCCGAATGTCTTCATAGATTTCCCGTTCAGAATCTATCATTTTTTTTTCGGAAAATCCGAATAGATTCCAACCAGAAAACTTTGCGCAGGCATGGACGAGCAATTAAGCTGAATCAATGAAATTTCAGTAGTATCGACCGACAGCTCTTCACCCGTTAGCTCTCAGCATTCGTCGGAGCTAATTCCTTTTCCCCCGTGTGTATTATCGGCAAATCACCTATCACGCCGGCGTTCAGCGAGGTGGTTTGTCAAACGTGGGGCGCGCGTTCCCGAGGAAGACCTCGTGAGCGAAGGGCCGCCGATTTCGCACAGAGGGCCGGCGTTTCGTCAATTACGCAATCTGCCGCGAAACGACCGCGATCTCTCTCTCTCTTCCTCTCTCTCTCTCTCTCTCGTCACTATAGGCGGTCCGAAGATGCGTGGAAGATGAGAGCGGAAGGGTACCACGCAGGCATACCTGAGTGGGAGTAACCGCATGTACCAAAGGGATATGCATGTACTTAGCGTGCGGTGTGAGTTCCGAGTCGCGAAGGCTTCAATCAACGTGCCGTCGCCCGGGGCCTATCCGATATCAGACATTAGGTACCCACGGGGTCGGCGGCTACGTACTCGGCTCTCGTCGGGGCTCTCTTTCATACGTTCCGACGCCCACTAGGCGCGCGAACCCGTGCGGATCGAACTTTATTCGAAAGGCGGCTCAGTCCCTCCGAACGGTGCCTCTGAACGGTGTGTATAAACAATTGAGATTTAAAGGCGCACGTGAGTGAAAGCGATCCGGATTGTCCGTCCGCCATCTGGACAGTCTCGTTGCGTTAGGTTGTCGTTATTATTTCTCTTCTTTCACTCGCTTCGTCTCGCGCAGAAGCACGTACGCGAACAAGCAAGCCCACTTGCGCGGAATACACGCGACGATACGGTGTTCCGCCCTGGGAAATTTGAGCATCTTGCGCACGAACACACACACACACACACACACGTTCCGTGGGTCCCCACACTGCTCGCCCCCGCGCTGAACCTTCGTTTGAAATTTGATCATTTGACTCCGAAACGAGACACGACGATGAAATATTCTTGTAAGTATTACGTAACACGTGTTATTTAACACGTCGACTGTCACAGTGCTCACTACCGATTGTCACTACCTACCGGCGCTGTAACATTGCCGCGTCTCGCCGAACTTTACACGTAAAATGTGTGATCAATCGCACGTAGCAGATGAGATACGTGGCCGATTCGCAATGAGAAATTTTGTGTTGAGAAAACGGCCCACTGAAACTAGTGCGTTACTTTAACAGGGGGAATATGTTAAAAAGTTGATGCATGTTGTAAATGAATATATTCACCTCGTTGTTAACGCATTACCTTTCAACATATTCACTTGGTTGAGGTAACGCCAAAATTTCAATGGACCGTTTTTAACGGAAAACTCTTCTTACCATGGCGAAGCTAGTCGTACCAGCTGACGAACACACGCAAGTTACGTTTACTCGCAACTTATCTTTGGTGACGCGAACTTTAATTGAGCATTGGAATACTCAATGAAAATCGGCCCCGGCGGTCAACGTGTTGGCAAATTGACACAGTAACACGGCAACGTGCACGATAAAACACTATGTGTTGAAAACGGTCCGCTCAAATTTGGCGTTGTTTTAACGCGAGAAAAGGTGCACAAATATGTGTACTCTCATGTTAATATTTTTGCATAAGTACGCAACATACGTCGACAAGATGAATGCGTTGATTTAACATTACATTCGCACGGAGAAAAATATTCTGCTGGCACAGTAAATTGTTAGTTACTACAAGGACGGTAAAAAAATTTATCTGGACAGCAAAAAGATTTGTTAAGAATACCAATTGCTATTCGCTGGACATACAAGCAGCAAGATAATTTGGTCACGCCAACGAAATCTTATCGCCGTCGCAACAACGGTTTTGCCACAACAGCAACATTATTTTTTCCGTGTAACAAACACTTCCTTTGTCCCCACAGTAACTAACGATTTGCCGTGCCAACAAAATTACTCTCCCCTTCCGTACACCTTTCAGCACATTCCCCACGTGTCGAAGTAACGCGAAGTTTCAGCGTTTTTAACACAACCAAATTTCTCACCGCGCGAACCGCTGCGTGGATCCGCGCGACCAGCGTCACCGTCGAATTGCTCCGGCGGAAAGAGCTAACGTGTTAAGCACTAACGTATTAAGAGCGTAACACAGCCGACCGGGGGAAATCGAGAGGGAATTCCGTCGAAGTTCTTCGTCGAGTTTTCGTTTTCCGACCGTCCCTCGAGATTCGCCACTGTGTTGCCCCGCTTCATAAATTACCCAATACGGAACGACGCGCGGGCTTCCGTGCGATTACTTATGCGCGATCTCTCTTTTCAGGCTCCTAAATCATTACAGCCGACGATACGCACGTTACGAAACGGCCGACGCCGCGCGTAGACCAGTCCTTACGTCCGAATTACGTAATCGCAGCCGCTTCGCCAGGCGGCGGTAAAACTTCCGATTGAGTTAATCGGTCGCGGGCCGATCGCGGATCGGAGACAGTTACGGCGTTGTAAATATGGCAGTCTGTTACTGGAAGCGTCACTGGAAGCGCACCGGCGACCGCCGGTGAATAATTCACCCGAAGCGCATCGTAAAACCATTATAACCATCGGCTGTAAAGTCCTGTAAAATCCGCGGGACCGTTGCGGTGACACCCGCGAGGCTTCTCCGTGAGCGCCGTGAAATTCCCGTCGACGTTCATCACCCGCGAAATCCGCGAGACGGAATAACGGAAGTCGGCGCCGTTCTTCCGCGAAACTTCACGCCGTGTCGAAATTGAAAATTCATCTCGGCGATGTCGGGTCTTCGGCCGAGTCGTCGAACAACGCGGACCCGATGAGAACGTTTTTTTGGGGGGAAGGAAAAAGTTCCGGAAAAATCTCGCCCTTAACGCGAAACTTTCCGAGCGTCGACTTGGCGGGGCGCGAAAAGGATCGCGCAGATCCGCGGTATCCGGGTTAAAACGTTAACTTAAACGAGCTACTCGGTGATAAATGACTTGGAAAAATTCTTAACGCCGAGGAAAGTCGCTAAGTCGAAGGTCCCTACGGTCGCTCCCGGATAGTCCGGGAACTTTCGGGTTGTCAAAATCCGCACCTTGGAAAGGGTATCCAGTGAAGTAGGGTGCCATATTGAGAGTGCTGACTGCCATCTAGCTGTTGCTTCCAGTCTCTCCCTCTCTCTCTCTCTCTCTCTTTCTCTCTCTCTTTCTCTCTCTCTCTCTCTCTTTCTCTCTGCGTTTCCCCGTCCGCCGCGGTCACCGCCAGCACTGGCACAAGAAAATAGAAAAACCCGCGAGTCGAAAGTCCACCCTTTTCCGGATTCACGGCGATACCCGACGACTCACAACTCGATCCTCACTTGCCGGCGCGTCACGGCTCGCCCAACGGTGCCGTCCGACGACGACGAACGAACGTAAAACAGCGTGGCGAGACGATGAAATCGTCGAATAGACGGCGGTTCTGAGTACCCCGCAGGAAGTCCTACCGCACCGAAACGGAGCGCAGGCTCGCTTCTTCCTTTTTATTTCCCTCTGTTTTTTTTTTTTACTGCGAAGCGAAGCGGGACTGCGGTGGCTTCGGGGTCTCGACTCGGACTGCCGGTACCTGCAGACCCGCGCTCGCGGTCGTCGAGGGGCCACGGAGCGTAAAGAAAGAGGCAGGCACGGAAAGGAGGAAAGCCGGAGGAAGGCTCCGCCTTCGTCGTGGGGCCCCTTCGAGGAACCTCTAACCGTCGGTCCCAGCTCCGCGCGCTCTTTCACGGCTTTATCGCCTGCACGGCTGCATTGGTCACCTGCCAGGTAATTTCCGCCGAGCCGGTGGAGGTGGTCGCACGTCCAGCTCCGCCTCGGAGAACCCCGCGACCTTCCTCCACCACCCACGAAACGACGGCACGCTCGAGCTCGCCCTCCCCCGGCGATATCGATGTCGATGTCGATATCGGCCCGCAATTCCCGATCCGCGCCGATCCCTTTCGCGCATTCGACGCGGCCTCTCTCGCGCCCTTACGATCGGTAAGCGGGGGGAAGGGCTGAGAGGGGCACCGGGGAGTTTGCCCGCGGTGCCCTGAGTCGAAATTTCGCTTCTCTCTGTTGGCGTCGTTCGTGCGGATTTATTTTGTCATTTGTTTCGTAATAATATTCTGTGACGCGTCGAGTCTTTATTTCAATGGCGGAAGGTCGAGGAAAGAGACGAGGAAGGTCAGGCTGCGTCTGACTAGATGAGTATCGGCTCTGAAGTTTTCACCAAAGTCTGCACGAACTTATTGAACATACTCGATACAGCGAACCTGCAAGTCACCGTCGAACCCGAAGGATCAACGGAGGATTTCGGGACGTAACACTGCACATGATATTGTCCCATCGTAATGATATGCATGATTACTTACTGCCGTTTTCCGCATGTTGAGGCTTCGTGAGAAGCATTTATTCAAACATCGTTTAATACCCGATTATTTTAGTATCCTATCTGTCTGATATTTATTTTTAATTTTTAACAAATCAATTATTGTACCACATTGGCGATACATCTTTAATGTAGAATCAAAGTTTCGACTGGTCTATCATCCGTCTCGTTACTTTCGCGGCTCTCGGAGCCGAATTGCGAATTTACGAAGAATATACAACCCCTTTTTACTTCAGTGACTCCGAGTCGAAATTTCAGTTCCACATTAAATCTAATTCTACATCAAGTCTTCAAAGGTCTCGTGCTCTCTTTGATATTATAAATGGGAAGTTACTTCCGTCTTCTCCACCCGATGACTTAATGTAGAAGAACTAAGTGGACTTGATGGGAGACGAGAATTTCGACTCGGGACGAGTAAGGCGCTTTGTCTATTCTACATCTTACTGGACGCGCGACGATATTTTTTATTCCGGCAGTTCCGGCATCCCCGGTGTGAATATTCGCGGTATCTCCGTCGAATTCGCGGGAACACGGTTCTCGTCGAGCCGTTCTCGCGAAACCACGCACGCCACCGGCGGCATCACGCATCGCGTGATCTCGCCAATGGGATCGCGCAGAGTTCAGAGAGACCCGCTCCCGCGATTCGGCGCGCATCGTTAATTAAAATTAATTACGTTTGCCGAGTAATCGCGCGTTTAATTGAATCGCGGTGCACCGCGATTGCGACGCGCGTACCTTCGCCGCCGCCGTCCGAGACTTCCGCCCGAGACGAAGGTGGAAAATGGAACGGCCGCGCCGCGGCGGAATCGACATTCTGCACGCTCCCTCCCGCGTCTTTCGCTCGTTTCTCTCGCCGGCATCGGCGCGTGTGATCGGCGCGATCGCAACGATATCATTATATCCGTTTAATTAATGTCGTCAAATCCGATTTCGCGCGTGAGAACGGTCGTTGAACGACGTACAACTGAATCAGAAAGAGAGAGAGAGAGGTAGAAAGAGAGAAAGAGTTTCGTTCGGGATCGCCAGCTCGCGCGATCCTCCGCGGGACCTCCGTAACGAAACGAGATCGTCGCACGGTATCCTAGAGCTCGCTCGTACACGGCGGAGAGATCTCGCCGTCTCTCCCTTCCCTCTTGGGACATTAGACATTTCGGACAGGTTCCCCGCCGCGGCGAAACCACCTCGTCTGATTCGCGTGTAATCACTTCGGGCATCGGAAAGCGGGGAGGAGGCCTCGCTCTCCGGAGCGGAAGAGAGCTAACCTTAGGGAACCCAACGGACTCGCTTGCCCTTGGCTTTACCGGCCGATTCGTTTGTAACCGGGAGATTACGTCCCGACGTAAATACAACGATCGGCTCCCAAAGTAGCGGACACGCAGCGTACGGCGCGATTTAATTGATGCGAGTCGCGAGGCATTATCTGCATTAACCGCCACGTCGATCAGTGCGCAGCGGTTTTCCCGAGAGAGAGAGAGAGAGAGAGAGAGGGAAAGAGGGAGGTAATTAATCGCGGACCGCGCTCGACGGCGCTCGCGATCGCATTAATCAGCATCGAGCGCGTAGCTGGGTGGAAGCCGAGAGGAAGACCCTTTGGGCGAAATTTATGCGCGCCACGGACGAGTCACCCCGATCGGACACGCCGTTGCGCCTTGCCGCTCGTCATTAGGCGGATAATGCATATCTTAATGATTACGAAACGAAACACTGACACCGGAATGGATACGTAAGTACGCCCGACGAATGGCCGTCCACCGGGCGAATCCGCCGGCGGAACGTCCCACGCTCCCGCAATCAGCTCCCCATAAACTACAATCACGACACGCGCTCCCCCGCGCGCCCGGCGACGCGCGTCCGCCCGTGTTCCTTGGAAATAGACGATAGCGGATCAGCCGCTCTCCGCCGCGCGCGCGCGCGCAGCGATGCGCATTTTCTCCGATGCGGTGTTCTCCGCTCTCGAAATTTCCCGGAGTGAAACCGGAGCTCGACCGGCCGGAGAGAGTCACCCGGGTGATCCTCTCGCCTCGCGGAGGGTGAACTCGCCGCTCCGAGTCGACGTGTATCTCGCCGTCACACAGAAACGATCTTACGCATCGAGAGGAAATATATTTAACACGTTCGCCGCCACGTTCCCCGGGCCGTAGTTTGTCCTTCCAAGCCACCCAGACGTGCTCTCTGCTTTATTCACTGGCCAAGGGTACAAATTAACCTACTTATATTATGGGTTCATTCGTGCTTGGCACAGCAGGCCGGCAATCGACATACGAGTATACTCGTAGTTGGCAGCGTTAACACGTACGAGTTATATTTAACTCACGTGGCAGTTAATGTGTTAAAGGGTGGAAAATATTTATTCGGTAGGTGGCCACACGGGAGAAAAGAATTAGTCTCCACGGTTGAAAATGAGGTCATACGGATGGAGACAATTGAAATTTAATTATCAGTTTCGTTTGGTTGCTTGGTAGATCAAATTTTTAGCCGTGCGAGCTAACTTTTATGACTGTATTTGTACGCGGAAGAAAAGAAGAATTAGCTCCCACAGCTAAAAACTAGGTCTGGTAACAGAATTTCAGTTGTGTCATATGGATAGTTAATTTTCAGCTTAGGAGCTTACGGGATTACGATGCGCCGTTAAAGACAGCAGATTCGAAATTTTCCTCAGCTCCGACGCACTCGGGAATTCACCCGAGTCGAAATTTCTAGTCCTAGTTTAAGTCTAATTTAATTTTACATTGAGCGTTCAAAAGTCTTTTATTGTGCTCCTTCGGTACTGCAAATGGGGAAGTTATTGGCGTTTTCTCCGCTTGAAGACTTAACGTGGAATTAAAAATCTCGCCTCGGGTGCCGTTTAACCTTCGCACTTAAAATTCGCTTTGCGCTTATCACGAACGCGGAGTGCGCGCGATTCGCGATTCGCAGCCTCCGGCGGCCGCGCTAACCTCGGGCAAAGTGGGAAAAATACGAGCGTGCTCGCGAATACTATCGCATACGCCGAGTTAATTATCGCTACATGTCGATCCGTCGAGGAGACTCTAAGCGGCCGCGCGAGGGAAGAGAAAAAATGAGACGGAGAGAAGCGGCGGCTGGTCGCGCGCGGCGCGAGTACGCGCGCAGAAGAGGCTGTGTAACGGTGTTGCGTGCCATTAAAGACAGCAAACATCGTAGCCTTTATGCGCTGTGGAAAATCACGAGATTGTTCGGCGACGTTACCACCAATGTCCGCGGATTCTAATAATCGTCGCTCCCACGGCGTCTCGTCGCCGGCCATCGTCGTGCTCGCTTCTCGTCGCGTCTGCAATATGAATGTATCTACGTGAATGTGCCTGTGAAAAATGAACCAACGTTCGTGATAAATGTCGTTCACGAAACGGTGCATTCGAGAGAAAGTGGATTTTCCTTTAACACGGTTGCATAAACATACACGGACACACACACACGCGTACACGTACACTCCGAGTCGAAATTTTAGTCCTACATTAAGTCTAGTTCTACATTCGGTCTTCGTTGTGCTCCTTTGATGCCACAAAGGAGAAGTTATTGCCGTTTTCTCCGTTTGAAGACTCAATGTAGAACGAAAATTTAGACTCCGGAGGTCTCGACTCCCATTTGTAGCATTATAGGAGCGCTTATTACTTGCCTTTTGATGTTACCAACAGGAACTTATTTCCGTTTTCTCCGCTTGAACATTTAATAACCCGAGTCGAAATTTTAATTCTATATTAAGTCTATCTAGTTCTACACGGAAGAAGTGTCTGGTTGCATTAATCAGAAAGGGAAGAACCAGATGCGTTATGGCTGAAGGAAACAGAATTTCTTATAACCAGAAATTCCGTTTC